CTGGGATGCTAGGAATTTAGCAGTATAATGTATAGGTGTACAAAGATTATATTTGTGCACATGGTTGTGAAATCCTATTTCTCTTTCAGCAAACTTATTCATCAACCAATAAACATTCAGGTTTCAAATCTGGTTATTGTTTCGCAAGCATTAAAATTGAGTGAAACACTCTGACTGGCTATTTCGCTATACGTTGTTGGAAGATGTAGACATGTTAAAGAAGACTGTGTAGTTACCAAGTGAATACATTCAGCTACAAACATATTCCTTGTTACTGACTTTTACTTAGAAGTAAGTAATTATTACTTATAATACATGTTGAATCTCTATTTAGTAGTTTCAGTATATAGTTGTTAACCAAACTCCAGTGTAGCTGTTTCTGTATTTCATCATAATATGTACTGCTTATGAAACTGTGATAAACATCACTGAATATACATACATGTGAAGAACAAATACACATCATAGAATAAACATAACAATGTTACACAACAGAGAATGCATGACACTTAATATAAATGATATATATGTAATGATATACAAGATGTAATATAGGTAACATACATGTAATGTTTTTCTTCTTCAAGAAATTGAAACTAAAAGAAAACTCCAAGTTAAAGTCAAGAATTAAAGACAAAAAAGGTTCTCAACGAGGAGGAGATACAGGCCCAACAAAGGTCAACTCATATAAATATCAATCTCCAATGTATTCAAGCTAGAAATTCCTCAGTCAAGTATCACCACCTGACATCTAAATAATTGTGCTGGAAGTAAATGATAACGTTTTTAAAGTGGAAACATAAGATTCAGTGAAAAACAAAAAAATGAAGAACAATAAATGTAAGTTATCACTTAAAACAGGTAAAAAAATTAGAAAATACCTCCACTTCATATGAAATTTCAAAACAAAAACATGGAAAGAGAGCACAAGCAAAAAACGTCCTGATGATAGCACTGCTAAACAAGAAGTGATAGTTTGGTAGAATCATATAGAGGGAATCACATATGTCAGGAAAGTGTGTCACACTATTATTGGTAGAGGGCTGTTGCATGATGATTTACATGCAAGATGCATTTGAACCAGTTGAATGTAAGGTACATGAGAGCTGAAGGCTTGTGGCATGCAAAAGAGTTTTTTGCCATATAGAGGGCAGCACTGAATGAAAATAGCTATTTATGTGAGAAGAGGTAATGTACTGTATCGGAAACAATAATTAATGATAATAGAATAAAATTGGTTGCTGCCAGCCAGTTGGCTCCCTGCAGTCTGGAATGGGTCAATGAGTGTGCACTGACAAATGTGCTGCAAAGAGACTACATAGTTCTTTAACATGAATACATTACCAGAAAATTTGACAAAACCTACAGGAGAAAATAAGAGACTAAATTATGACTAGCTAAAAAGAAATGGTTTAATGTTCTGTAGGGTTAAAGCACAGCTGCACTAAAATTACTCAAAACATGTGCCAAAGATTGATTGATAAGTGAAGATTCTCCTCAGATATTATTTTAACAAAAGAAAAAAGAAAGTTGAATTCCAATAAATGACAAATAGTGTTACCTATTAGAGGTCAGGATGATGATCTCCAAAGTTTATACAAAACATAATCTAATTTTAATACACCATTGCTCCTTGAAAACAAGATCTATGTTGCTATATTTCCACCACTGTTTTTAAACATAAGAATGAGTGAAAATTCCTGATGTTTCATAAGAGTAGTACATTAAAAAGAATATATTAAGTATGATAAGTACAGTAACTTTATCCATTGTCATCTTGTTTGTTGTACTTCTACTGTTATCCAGAATAGATAACATTTTAAACACTAGGGGCCTGATTTACAAAGTTCAGCATCTGTACTAAGTGTGGTAAGCACAATAGTAAAGTTAATGTAAAACTCTCATTATTTATCTGAAGTAAGATGTATGTATGTCCTTCCCCCAGTAATTAGTAGTAAGTGAAGAGTCTTAAAGGTTATATACTGTGTCCCAATAACTTTGGTGATTCTCCAACCCTGGGTTACAGCAAAATTGGAGTTGATCAGAAAAGTAAAATAAAAAAAGTGATTGCATTAAAATCACACTGGGGATTAACTAAAAAAAACAAAACAATGTATTATTTATAAAAAAGGTGCATTCAAAGTAAATCACAACATTAATGAAAGTTACACACAAACATGGCAATTCAAAACACATGTAATAACACAAAACTTTGAAAGCATTAGAAAATATATAAATTATTTGGCTTTCACAACTATATTATTATAAAAGGATTATGGAATTGTTAAAAAGATAAAAAAGAAAATGGCACATCCAAAATAAAAACCACAAAATAATAAGCTACAAAGAATATCAATGAGTGCCATCATAATAATGAAAATATAAATATGTCACACCAAATAATTCCAAGTATACATTACTTACAAACAAATGAAATAAAAACCCCAAAACATTATCTTTCTTTAAGGATACCCATAACACACGGAAAAAAGAACATGGGGAAATGAAATGTTGAACAAAGAAAATCCATCAGAATATGCTAGTTTCTTAGAAAACAAATTTTCAAATATACTGATTACACTATAAAAACACATTTGTAAATGAATAAATCAAGAACTAGCTTAAAATGAAAATAATTAAAGGACAAATCAAAATAAATTAAACTATCACTTGAAAACAATACCCTAAACCATTAAATCATTCTGAAAAAAAGCAATTTGAAAACAGAATAAAACATTAAGATACAGAAACTTTTATAACACAGCAAAATTATATAAAGTGAGACTTTGACTACGACCTAACATAACTAGGTATGCAACCCTTGTGAAAGTTCTTTACAAAAATGAAACTAATGGATGAAATTCTTTTAAACTTGAGATAAAATGTCCTATAAGTATGTAGTTTTTGAAAAATAAGATATTTTTTTATTTTTTCTAAATCAATGTTTTATTATGCATTTTTTTTCTTTTTGCATGTTGCCTTTCCAATGTGCAAAGTAATTTTCATTTTAAGATTAAAAATACTTTTATGCATCAGAATTTTTCAAATTTCACTTGTAAAATCCTAATAATGTCCAGATAGTTATTAAACATTTTTTGAGAAAAAACTTTATATTTTATCTCTTATTTTCACTAACTATATATCTATGGATTTGGTCAATTTGACCAATCCCATAACCACCAGAAAAAAATTAGGAAATAAATATAAGTTATGCCTTTTTTCGTTCTAGAATGAGTACTAATTATAACACGAAAACATAAATGTTTAGACTAAAGAGTTTAAATCTCATAACATTATACATTTATACATATTTATTATTTTTATTATATTGACCTTTCAGCTGTGCCTGGCTAAAATACAATAACATAAATATCCAATAATATAAAACTGACCTTTAGTCTCTACAAAGTGACCTGTCTTGGTTGTGTTTTAGTGGACTAGTATTTTGTAAAATACAATCACATTTCAATTATTATACATTAAATATGTATATAGATTATTAATATTTACAAATAACTTCTTGAACTTTTTTTTTAAATAGAAGACTAAATAAAAAAAGTAAAGCAAACAATTCTCTCTTCTAGTTTTTACCTTTATACTCATTTGCTGCTTGCAGTAGGTTGCTAAGCCTTATCAAATTGCACACATAGAGGATATGAAACAAAATAATTTTCTTTAGGTTTTATATATACAGTTGTATAACCAAAAATTCATAAATTACTACATCAATACCATAGAACTCAATTATAATTTATCAATTTTTGTAACAAGGTTATATTTAGGTCTAAAAAAATATGAAATTTTGAACAGACTAAAAGACTTGACTTACCTATATGCCATATTGTATCAAAAGAAAGATACGAGACTTTACATTTGAAAATGGCTGAGAAAGCCACTAGGGGGACATTCTGAGCTTTTGACTGGTTATTCACATGTCATATATAGAAGTAAGGGTACATAGGGGACTGTTTCCAAAAATGGAAAGAGGTGAGCCAGGCAACTGCATTTGATTCAGTAATGAGAGATATCTCAGCAAAAAGAAAAGATAGGTGGTTCTTATTTTATATTCTGGCTGATCAATATCGGTAATTTGAGTTCCTAATTTGTACAAAACTATAGAATTTGTATTTGGACATCACAAACATCTAATTTAAACCAGTGCTGCATACATCATACCACACAACACGCAAAAATCGATGTTTGTGTTGTTTTTTTATATTACTTTTACATCAAGAAACTAAATAATGTATAATACTAATATCTGAATTATAATCTACAGTTTCATACCATACGTACTGATATAAATACATAAAATAGTAGTTCAATAACATTTTGAATGTGAGTCAACAAACGTGATGATATGGCCTTTGACCTGTGAACCATGTGGAAAGGATAAACTGACAGAAAAATACACAAACTGTATACAGAAGGAAAATAAATAATCTCAGCTAAAACAAGTAATTTATAATTGGAACAAAGTCACACCAAAAAAAAAATCAAAATTCATGTGAAAAACAATAAAAAGAATCAAAGACAACCCAAGTGCACATAACCAAATTATAAAATAAAAAGGAAAACTTTCACTAACTCCAGACAATAGTTATTCAGTACAAAATTTATGAAAAATACTCATTAATAACTTGTACACATACTTATAATTAATGAAAAGGACAGAAAATATACAAAATCACTATGAGTTAAAATTCAAAACAGCATAAGCCAGCAGTAGCATAACTAAACCTGGGCACAACAGCTCAATCAACATTTAAAACAACTCTCAAAATATGGGTTGAGTCAAGTATAAAGAACACAAATGATGTTTTGAAAAGATATCATATTCCAAAAAAAAAAGACTGTAATAAGAAATCCCAAATACAAATCACCTATAAAAAATTAATCATAATATATTTAAAAAGTTTAAATTACTCTTACATGTAAATTTTTGCACATTTTTACAAAGATAAAACATTACCAATGAAGCAATTACGACTAATACATACAGTTTTTCCTGCTCAATATGGCTTTTCATTGCACCTTTCTTTCGTTTTGGTTTTGGCTTGGATAGATTTAAATCTATGTTGCTTTTCATTTTTAATGATAATGTATCAACCTGAAAAGGAAAAATTACTGACAGTATAATTTAACCAAGGATATAAAAACAAATCAAACAGGTAACAAAAAAGTATTTTTTATGTAAAAAAAGTAATAATATAATACACTGACTGTTTTTTTTACTAGGATCCCCCACCTAACACTGGACTGGACCAATTCTGATATAATAATAGCCTGAACTCAGCTTGGCACAATCTCCTTATCAAAAGTTATCATATTAAATTGTAGGCCATTCATACATGGGTATGCTCTGCAATTGGTTCACAAATATCTGTAGAAAATTATGGTAGTTAATGCATCATACATGTTCATTCCAAAGATGATTGATCAGAAAGTCCAGTGATTGAGCTGGAAAAAGAAAGTAAATGAAGTCACTGTCGCATAACACTCCTTCAACCACTTTCAGATAAATACCAGAGCAGTGTGTCATGATATAAAAAACTGTTTGGTTTAAATATTAGTGATTAATTTATATTTGTGAGTGAATATTTATTATTTTTAAGTTTT